CATTATTAATATTCAGACGTTTGAAAGGTGGTTTTTAAAAGTGCAATTTTATGACCGCCAATTTGTTTCATCACGATCCCTACTATTAAATACCACTGTACTTAATGGTAGGCGTTGTTTTTAGTGCTGCATTTGTGCTTATTACATATTCTGTTGATCAAAATTACCGTTTCTCTCTATGTACGTATACAATTGTTTTCAACGATAGTAACAATAACACGAATGCAAATGTAACATTTAACTTCTAGGTTGTTTCGAATACACACAATGTTTATTATCATGAAGTAATAAGCACCCAGAGGCAAAGCGGTATGTCTACCGACTTACAACGCTAGAAATCGGCTTTCGATACCCATCGGGAGAAGAGCACAGATAGCCCATCATGTAGCTTTGTTCTTAACTACAAACAAAGAAATTAAGTATTGCTACATATTAGTAGCAAACGTTTTTTATCATAAAGTAAAATTTAAAAAGACGCATTTTCATAAGTATACAAACAGAGCCCATGTTCGTTTGAAACAAGAAACATTAGTTTCATAATCTTTATTTAGTGTCGACAGAGAAAAACTAGAACATTTACAGCATTCGCTGAGGTTATAATAACGTAATTAATCTTATCTTTTTCTTTATTAATACGATAACATTTTGCAGCTTTGCTTAACATTTAATTCCTTAGGACACCACCTAAAAGTGAAAGAACTTTTACTCCACTTTCACAAGACAACGAACTGTTTTACCGATGAAACATTTCGTTTGTAGTCGACGCCTCTCAGAGATTTTATTTTAGTAGGCCAATGTCCTCACCGACAGGAGGCGATCTAAGCTTCAGGCTTTTCTTTCTGCCGCGAATAAATGTCAAGAACGCTGGAATTACTATATACTGTTAACAGGCTGTTACGTCAGAAGTCGACTATCCGCCTTTGTGGCTTTGTTTTATCTTTCAGAAAAGGATAATGTGTAATGCAAAGAACAATTTTCGCCTTTTACTCTTTTAATCTTTTGTTACTTTCTGCTTACATTTGTGGAAGTAGCGTAGAAACTAATTAATTGACATAGTAAATGAATTCGCAAGTAAAATTCCACCCATTTTAATTTGAACTTAACAGTAAAATTATTTCCATAACAGATTTTATGATTTTACACAGAACATGATAGAACGTCGAGTTTCACTTTTGGCATTAAATAGTAGAAAATTAAGCAATATATTTTATAAATACATATGTCGATTTTCAGTTTATGAACATAAAACACACACCATTTTTCTGATATCCAAAAACCAGTCAAAGCATATTCCCACCATATTACTTAAAAACAACAACTTTAATATGCTTATCATCAAAATATTTTGTTCGCCCAA